TCACATGAAAACGCTTGTTGGGAAACTACCCATTGGTACAGACCCCTTTTTATCGAATTATTTACATCCGTCTGAAACTTTGTAAACAGTTTCATCTCATCGTAAATTATAACTATTTTATTTACGAAAACTCTTGGAATTGGGATGTTTTCAATCTGGAGGGACCAAACTTTGTCTATTAAACTAGGCACTTAAAACTTCTAAACCCATTTGCTTTCTACGTGGATCGAAAGATAATTCTATATTTACCAAAAAAATCACGATATATCCTCTTCGTGCCCAGAACTAATACATTTCTGCCTTGCACTGTCACAAAAAACTGTGCCGAATGTCAACATTTGGAGAGCCAATATTTTAAGATAAGCAAAATAAAAACTAAACAGCGATCAAAAAGTATATAAAATAAATAAAAATAAAACTACTCGTTTGCTTTCTAATTGGATCGTAAGTTAATTTGATCACAAAATCGATAAAGAAAAGGTGGCCTACAAAAATATTGGGCCGTTTGTCCAATATAACCTCGTTATTTTGAAAATCTGATGGTGTAGGTTAAGCCAAACGACTCAATATTTTTGAAGGCCACTTTTTTTTATCGATTTTGTGATCAAATTAACTTACGATCCAAACAGAAAGCAAACGGGTAATTTTATTTTTATTTATTTCATATACTTTTTGATCGCTGTTTAGTTGTTATTTTGCTTCTATTTATTTTATATTTTCTGTACGTATAGTGTCAATGTAGTATTACCTCACTATAATTATTGTCCATATAACGGACTATTACTTTAGTCAATAAATAAACTAAAGTAAAATAAAAAAACTACCTCATAATTTGCCATTGGAATCGCCAGACCGTTTGCAACTAATTATCAAATATCCTACTTCTTTAACTCATTTTCGTTTAGTGGAAATTAAAATTAAAGTTTAAACAGAATTTTAAAAAATCAATGTGAGCGGGAATACTAGGCCTTTAATACCTCAGCTTCAACCATTTCTTAATATTTCCATTCATCACATTCTATATTTGACAAAAAAATCACGATATATCCTCTTCGTGCCCAGAACTAAAACATTTCTGCCTTGCCCTGTCACCAAAAACTGTGCCGAATGCCAACATTTGGAGAGCCAATATTTTCCCTCCACTATCTCAGTGAATGCAATAATAATATCTTAAAATGTGTGCATAGCCCAGGTACCTCGATAATAATTAAAATAATAAAGATATAAATTGCTGCATCAGAAGCGATAACTGTCAGCAATTTCGATACAACTTACATAAAGACAACGCTAAGCCTAATGAGTATTAAGAACAACGCATATATTGAGAATATTTTAAGTTTTTCTAATTAGAATTGTTGTGAATTTTGGTCATATATGTATCTTTTCTTTTTTATTTGTTCATTATTGTTATTACAAGGAGACTTTGTCCCAGAATATAGATTATTTTTCTATTCAAGATCAATAAAACAATTTAGAAATTTCAATTGAAGTTGAGTGGAAATTATCAATATTATCCGTCCTTGCTTTTGCATTATGTATCCTTCAATGTTAATATCCATTAACGAACCTTATCGAATGATTATTAGCGTTTTATTATTTAACACAACGACCCAGGAAATCTGATAAGAAGAAGAAAAAAACAGATAATAGAAAAAAATGTTGAAAGGACTATTCACTTATCTGAAAGACGGTTAGATTAAAATATTTAATTTATTATGTTTTCAGGAAGCGTTTGAGCAAGGATCCTTAATAAATTGAATGTGAGAGGATAAATATATGTTTAAGAATCTGTATTTGAAGAGGAAAATATCTATATGAGAAATCCCATATAGATCAATTATACATAAAAGGTTTAGCTAAATATTCCTTACAACGAGAGAAATTAATTAAAAAGAAATTAAAATGTAAAATTTTGAATTTTTCTAAAGTGATTTTATTTTTTTGACTTTTTTCTAATATTGTTTTACTTTACCGATTTCATGGAAATAAAGATGAAATTAGGCATAAATGTATTTCAGTATTTTTTTTTTTTTAATTTAATGCTAACTTTTCCAGCATGGGCCTCAATAAAAAAGAAATAAAGATTCTTCAGAAATGAAAAAAATGGGCAAAAATAAATAGAATAAGCATAAAAAAAAAAAAATAAAATAAAATAAATCGAGAAGATTTTTTTTTTTTTTTTATTTCAATATGACATTTACAACTGTATTACATAAATACATCAAGTAAATTTGAACATAATTGATATAATGACATGAATACACTTGCTGAGTAACTACCCAATGGTAGCACTCTAATGATATGACTACATTAGGAGATCACGGGGCCATCTTCTTTTCAGACGCCTCGGAGGGTTATCAGGAATTGAAGAGGAAGCAAGGTTAGAAACGAGAGGGTTGGGATGATTCTGAAGTTTATTATGGAAGGATAGGTATCTGGATTGGGCCAGATCTGAAACATAAGGAACATTAAGATCTTTATGGATAATTTTATTAGTGACAAAGTAAGGAGCATTGAGGATTTTACGAAGGATTTTGGATTGTAAGGATTGGATGCGAGAGGAATTCGATGGTTTAGTGGAGCCCCATAGCTCAACTCCGTAAGTCCAAATAGGTCTTATTATAGTCAAGTATATGAGTCTTTTGTAATTAATGGGAAGTTTAGAGCGTTTGTCTAGTAAGTGCTGAAGTAATCGGAAACGTCGAGCGGTTTCTTGTCGTTTCAGTCTAGTATGAGGATTCCAAGTTAGTCTTTTGTCCAGGTGGAGTCCTAGGTATCGGATTTGCTCAACAGGGATAAGTGGAGTATTGTTAAAGGAAACTGTAGGACAGGAAGTCGTTGATTTACGACGAAGGGTAAAGGTAATTTGGTGGGATTTATTGGAGTTTATTTTAATTCTCCAGTTTTGACACCATTCTTCTAGATTTATGATGTGTGATTGAAGCATTTGGGATGCAATTGCTGGGTCATTGTTTACTGATAGGATACATGTGTCATCGGCATATGTGGTGATGACAGTGTTGGGATGGGTTGGGATGTCAGCTGTATAAACTGTATAGAGGATAGGACCTAGGATACTACCTTGAGGAACACCAGCGGACTGGTAATCGAGAAGATATGATGAAGATATTTCAGGTTGGGCTAGGGATGGGATATTATACATATATTTGAAATAAGATTATCAGTATAAATATTGATTCTCTTGGACATAGTATCATAAAAAATAATTTATTTTTCTCTTTCAATTAATTAATGGAAATATTAATCCTTTGGCGTTAATTAAAGGCCACCACCTCTACACTCTTTAACTCAATTCCTGTTCTCCCACTCTTCCAAAGCTCAGCCATCAGTATATGACGATGGTATACTTTGAGTTATTTATCTGAGGATTTTGCGAAATGAATCCCACAATTTATAACAATATCAACAGTCAGTACACGTACTAGTCTCCAGATTTTTATAAATTTGTTTGTTTATACTGCTACATAAGTTGTTAAAGTAATTTTTTTTTTTTTAATTATGTGAGGACAATTTTTTATTCATTAACTTTAGCACCTTCAATCATGAAGGCGACAGAGCGATTTTTATTAATTATGAAAATTATGTTTTATTAACCACGTACCCATTGGAAAATAATGAAATCGGAAGCCCGTCCTGCGGTTTTGCCACTTTTTTTTTTATATGCATTTATCAGATGGTCAAACTGATGAAGTCAATATTAAACGATTACACCTGCCAACAACGCCAAAGAGATAGTTGAAATTCCTTGAATTCAACTAACTGATTAATTAAACCTGAACATTATATTAGATCTAACTATTAGGTTGCGCTACTAAAGATCCATATGGTTCACTCTATGGGGATCTTTAAGCGAGTTTATATATTTGTAAAAAACATAGATTATATTTTATTTATAAAAACTCTAAGCTGATGACTTATATCAGACTAGATTTAGTTTCACTTATTTTTGTAAATATAAAAATTATGTTTACTTCCTACTACTTACACTGCATCATAAATGTTGGTTGTGTTGTATATGGTTACCTCTCTATTAGAACTAATTTTACTGTATGCAACTTTTTAACTAAAATGCTGGAAGGCTCGAAAAAATAATATTTCTTAATTTTATTAATTCTTTTACTGCCTAACTTTTAATATTTTTCGTTTTAAATTCTTCTCATAACGCCACTCAACCTTTTGGCGGCTCCATGTTTATTTTATTAATCAGGACCGGTACTAGGAGGAGGATAAAGGAAACACTTGTTACAGACTGCAAAATATGGAATTTTATGTATTTTTATTTTATATGTTAAATAAAAATTATTTGTATCGTATATTTTAGAAAAGACCCAAGACCTAAAAGGGATTTCGGATAATTCAGAAAAAAATGACAACATTATTATTTGATCGTTGGAATATTAAAAAAAATGTTTAAAATAAAATGTATCCACATGTAGTCAAATTTTATATTTTTTACTATTTATCATTTTTAATATTACATCAGGAAATCTTAGTTTATTAATTTATTTTATATAAGGAGAAGAAAAAGTTGTTAGAGATTTGCCATATATTTGCTAAATAACATTTTCCACGGCCATTGAGACTGTTGAATTCCAAGCGTCTATTATTATTTTTATTTATTTTTTTTGTAACTGTTACGTGACATTATTCATGTTTGTGAAATTCAAGGTCACAAAATTTATTTCGTCGATTACACAATTTTAATCAATTTTCGTTAATGATCATGTTTACCTTATTTCATATTCTTACCTTGAAACTGATTATAGAAGAGTTCCATTTATCCTGAATATGGTACTGTTGTTTCGGTTAGCGCGATATTTCAGATAAGAGATTATCTGACCAGTAAATGATCTATTCATGATATAAATGATATTTATTACAGTAATGCTTAAGAGCGGTTCTAGGCAAACATTATTTTAGTATCACGGTGTGATGTTTTTTTGCAGAACAAAATGTTCCAACTCCGCTGGAGAATGTTGATGTTGGGAAGCGTGGGATACATGAAGCATAGGAAGTGTCTGGCTGAGGAGTTGGCAAATGTCTCTCCGATTAGCATGCAAGGCTCGTGTGCTTCCGGGCCACTGCCGAATATATATATATCACCGCCACTAATGCTAGAGATTATAGAGGAATTTGCATAGTCGACGGTAACCCTCGGCGTCTAATTTGTTCTCGAATGAAAACAAAGTTGCGGGCTGGTCGTATATCAGCAATAATGTCCATGTGTAGATGTTCCGGCTTTGGCTATACTGCATTAGATCTAAGCTTCATTCTTTTTGGAATTGTTGTTGCTCAGATTTGATATGTAAATCTGAAATATCATGCTTATAGAATAGAAAAGAAGAATCAGCTTTATTCTGGGATAAAGTCCTTTAAGATCCTTAAGAAATATTATTCATAAAAATGAATACTAAATCTGGCCAAAATACCTATTACAATAAAAGAATAACTATTAAAACAAAATTAAATTAAAATACGAGTAATGAGAGAAGTATTTACATAGCTACACTATACAGTTATATTAAAGAAAAATGAAGAGAAATAAGGTCACAATACTGCGAAATAGCTGCTACAAACAATAAAATAAGAAATAACTAAATTTGAAAAAAGAACGATAAATTACTTTTGTAGGCAAACCGTTGTAGTTATGAAAAAAATAAAACGGTTTTAGAAGAAGAAAAGTAAATTTTATTCTTGGATTAAGTCCTCTTAGAATAACTACAATATACAATTTAATGACAATTGTCTATCATTCGAAATATTTACGAATTACGAATTACGTTAAATTACAAGGTTATCTAGATCTAAAATTAAAATTAAGAAAAGGCACTAGTAGACATATGAAATTATAGATAAATTCAGATCTACGAGTTCACATATTTGTATACATTAACAATTTGGATTATATATCTGTGGAATAATATTAAATGCGACACGGTATGAAACATGTGAACATTATTTTACAGATATTCGGAAGATTGATTGCTCAGGATATGGATAAATATATTACGTTCAAATGAGGTCAAGGATGACTACTTGCGTATGGAAGTCGGTAGGGAATTCCAAATCAAGATAGCACGTATAACAAAGAAATTTTTAAAGGCAACAGTGCTATAGCCATATATAATAGTGCTATAGAGCAGAAATAAACAGGTGTCAAGGCTGGGATATCGAGGAGCTAACTTAATACAAGTTTCATTAATATCGATACATTCTCCAGGCACTACATTCTGTAAGACACAGTTTTTTTTTCATCATCTTAAAAGTACTTTTCGGTGAAGAATGTACTACACACACGCGCGCGCGCACGGACACACACAAACAATTTAACAGGAATCAAGAAGAAGACTTTGGGCTAGTTTCATTGAAATTGATACATTGGTTTAGCTGCTACAGTCAGTAATTTTTTGATGGGCTGAAGGTCTGTGCTAACCCGCTTTTCCAGGAAATAGTACCGCCGCCCAGGCCTGGGAGGTGGCAAGGTAAAGTCCCCTTGGTTGATGTTCTCGCCGAGGAAAGGGGTTTGGACTCACACCCACTAAATTATAATATAAATATTAAATTAATGCAGGGCGGTCCCTCCGCGCCCAGTGGTATAATAAAAGGCCTCTGGCCACAGATGCAAAGATCGCATACAGCGTGCATAGCCCTCTTCTCTTAAAATGCCGTTGGGCAATAAAAGGAAATTGAAAATTTATGTATATATAACATTTATATATATATTGTATTTTGTAAGAAAGAAATTCCTGGGGGGTAGAAAAAAAAAAAAAAAAAAAAAAAAAAGACGCTACAGTCTATACCTATAACGGTTTTTTGGCCACCATCTTAAAAGAAAGGGCGGATGCTAATATCTAGGCAGGAGGATCATACTCGGGTTACTTTTGACTTTGATTCCAAATTTCATTAAAATTGGTCCTGTAGTCTCGGAGAAAAGACGAAGACCAAGGCAATAACCGGAGGTACCAAATGTTTTTATTCTAATTTCGAGTTCTACGTACCGTGAAACGTAAAACCTCAAATTTCGAGAGAGAGTAAACATTTTGAATTTTTCGAAAGAATAAACTGGTTCATTATTGAAAATGATAAACCAAAAAGACTAATACATATTATTGTGGTCACATTAAACTGTAAGCCCACTTCAAAAAACAACCATATTCTCACACCATTTAAAAATTTAATATATAAATTTAATAGCACTGTAAAAAAGTAATATTAAATATCGAGAAGGAAATGTAACCATAAATACACATGGAACATTTCGTTATAATAATAATTTATTATGATGATAATTCGCGTTTTTTTAATTTCGCTACGCCTGCCGTGGCCACTACCGACGATTGGTGTTCATATATATATTTCGTTAATTGCAATAGTTTAATGTTGTTAAGTGTTTTTTTTTAAATTCCTTCAGTTTCTTCATATGGAACGATGTTTTCAATTTTTTTATTAAATCGTTGCGATATTTATTGCATTGAAATAGGTGTTGAATGGTGAGGTTTCTGTTATCACATGCTTGCCAGGTTGGTTGGTGAAGGCCTAAAAGGAGATATAGATGTGTCATTTTTCTATGTCCGATTAGCAAGCAGCTAATCACAGAGCATTCTATTGGTGTAAGTTTTTCGGAACTAACCAAGCATGATTGCCCTCTTTGATCAAGCGGAGGTGACTAAATGGTAATTGTTTCCACTGTTCATTCCAATTGTTTTTTATTTTTATTGTGATGTCTTGCGTCCATACTTTTATGAACATCGTTCAAACATAAGGTGAATATGGGCTTCTAATTATTTTATCTTTCCTATTATAGAAAGTTGTATATTATATTATATAAAATTGTATAATTTGCAATAAGCCATTGTTCCACCAGATGAGCAATATTATATTTTTACTATATAAATATATGATAATATATATATATATATATATATATATAATTTCTTAACGTTGGCGATTAGAGACTTAATAATTAACTGCGTCTAGACTATCTATCACCCCTAACACATGTTTTAATGTTAGTTTTTTCATCAATTTATTCATATAATCAGTTTCATATTCATCAATTTATAGATAATTGATACATGCGTTATGCTCAGTGAGCTTGTAAAAGTTTACAAATATACGACACTCGTACAGAGTACTGTATCAGAGAAGGAGACAAAAAAAATTCATTTTTATTAAGAGTTGAGTGATATTTCTGGCTAATCTTTGTTTTGTAACATTAGCAAGATTTTTGGTCAATCGCAGGAATTCATAGTAGATTGGATAGATTATGTCTATCAATTATAATCACTTTAATCCACTAATGTCTTCTATTATTAGGAAATGAACAGTCAAGTTGTTTTTTCCTAGGGTTTTGTTAGATATGGAATGTTAAAAACTAATAGAAGTATAGCAATAAACATTATTCTAAATTAAATATCTTTATCAGATAAGAAAAAAAATAAACCTACTGTGAACATAAAAGGATCTGATGATAGAGATACAATAAGACTATATCTTTTAACAAATATTAATTCAGAAGATTAATTAAATAATTTCAAAAAATGATAAATATTAAAAAAATATATATTTGAGAGATTAATATTAAAGATACTTATTTTCTCGTATTTATCGGATGGACTCTTATCCTAAAATAAATAATTACAAATCAATTAATAATAATGCCTACGTATTAGTTTACTGATAATTAGCTTTTAATTCAAAACCTTGAATTTATTACTATTCTTTTGTAATAATATTTAATTGCTACACCTTATTCATTTAAACCCTACCCTGCCAGTAAGGCAAGACGGGTGTTATGCAACAGAGAGGAGCAGCGCATACGTTACAACTCACTGTTGCATTTAGACCAATTACATTTTTTTCTTTTCAGCTCCGCAAACATCTTTACAGCCGACATATTCCACCCTCTCTGGCGGCCTTCCAGATGCATGTCGATCTCTTCTTTCCAATGAAGAGTGGGTTTGACCAACGAGTTCCTTCCACCTGTATACGAAGGCCTTGGTATTTCTCCTTAGTCTATGTTGAGAGAAATCGCTATCCGTCAGAAAGTAATTCCCGTCTCCCTCAACAATCAACCTTTTTAATCGAACAAGAAAAAAAAAATAGCCTCTCCAAAAACTTCAGGTTTTACATTTCAAGACAACTAGAAGCCGAATATCAGTTAATCAAAATTCTATTTGTCCGATCGCCAGGGGGAGTGGTTGAGGGCGGGGGATTAATGTCAGAGTTAAAAGCTCCCTCCCTCCCTCCCCTGGCACTGAGACACGAACCCATCATAAGGCACCCGAGGATGATCCTTGAAACTAGGTATTACCACCCTTCCTATACTTTCAAGATGCCATTCGGATTCAACACCAAAACCTGTGTTGATACAGACTATATCGCCTAAACCGAAGAATTTGATTTTAATAAAGCTAGGCTTAAGTCTTCTCCTCGTTGCCATTTAAATTTATGTACCTAACATACTTCACGAAAAGTACTTTCCTTTCAATATAGCGTTAAAAAAACCTGTGTCGTATAGACTAGCATCTAAACCGATATACTGATTTTAATGAAACATGGCTAAACTCTTCGAAACCCTTCAATTTTATATATAAATATAACATAATTTACCTAAAATAAGCCGTGAAAAAAATTTCGGGGGGTAGAAAAATTAAATTTTCAAATAACACAAAGGGCGTGCATACGAAAGTTCCTAAATAACAAAAACAAAGAACAAAAAAACAAAAGATTCATTGAAATCTAACAATTTGGCACAAAGATGTGGAGTTCTAAATATTTTCTGTATGTTCTTCTGCAAAGCTGATATCCTTTGTCTCGTTTTTTGAAAATCTGGAAAGAAACATCAACTAAAGCAATCGAGGTTGTTATCTATATTTCTTAGCAAATTACTAATGATGTAAAAAAATAGACCAACATTAGCAATCCCCTTTTATTTATTTTCCGTTATATGAAAATAAATATATAAATATATTATACATAAATATTAAGCCATTGGATAATAATTTGCATCCTCTTTGTTGATGGTTATTGGATTTTGTTCACCAAAGTATGTGCACTAAATCGGGTAGCCGGAAAACGTGTGTTTCCTGACTATATCACTAAAACGGCTAAATGATAAAAAAAAAAAATGCTATATTTTTAGCTATAAATCCAATCGAACTTTTCTGTAGTATTTTGAAGCAGTAAAGAAAGTCGGATAAGAGGACACAAAGAAGTGGTACTCATGAAACTTGAGAAAGCATGAAAATAACCATTTCCGGATAACGTCCAGGTCTTATCTTTTGTTTATGTTTTATTTTCGTTTATCAGTTGGTACCAACGTGCACTACTGGCAAATCACGTCCATCAGATGCACAAGCGTTCCCATGCGTAGCCTCAGCAGGCCGGAAGGAAAGGCTGCATTCCCTCCAAGATCTTCATCATCAGATAACTGAGGAGATGTGTTGTATAACCGGCAGTTGGAAATCGATTCTCACACGTAGGACTGAACGGTGTACATCGATTAGTGTACTTTCTCCGATCATATGAGCACTGAAAGGTGTTATGACTTCCAGTGTAACGGCCTCTCACGCCCACGTACTCAATATCGGATTAAACACACATAATGCTTCTGTGGGGAATATTATTGCCGTGCGGGTGATATGGCCAGTAGGAAGCTTGTCTAATATGGCGAATAATTACCGGGAAAATGAATACCAGTGTATTGAATTGTTAATAAAGACCTTAATGGGATTATTAAACATATTTGAGTCGCTATGTATAAAGAGCGGGTTCAATCACCTCCATTATCCATTATGGATAAGGGGTTCAATAGAGGTCAAAGGATCGAGGAGGCTGTAACTTGGCTTAGATTGTTCTGATGATGTTGAATATTCTCCACCGATGGAACAGTGCAACTAGTCATGGAACTTAAGAAAACAAGATCGGGTTTCAAGAAATATAATATTTCTACAAATATAATTGATGAAATTGTATCTAAACACGATTTGTATTAAATTAATTTAACCTAATGAAATATTCTGTCGCTTCTTAGACAAAAAACTGTTCAGGCATTTACCCTCCTATTTTTGAAATCATTAAGGTCGTTTTAACTTTGTGCTAAATTTTCGAATATCTATCAATAGCCCACAAATTTTCTGTGGAATTCATGCCAGGCGAATCGAAAGGGGATGACAACATAGAATAATTATAAAGTCTTCTAATCCTAGTATCAAATCCGTGAGCTTTGTATAATTTTCCTATCAAAATTTAAGATATTTAAAAAAATCAAAGTCGTGCACTGGTCTTTCAATTGATATTTTCATGTATTTTATTTATTAATTGTATTTTATATATCAATTTATTTTATTTATTAATGTATTTTATTTATTAATGTATTTTATTTATTAACACAGTTGTAAATGTCATAAATAAATAACAAAACATACATATTTGCTAAAATTCACCACTTAAAATGTCAATGTATTTTCACCTAACTACTATTACGTCTATTAAAAACGGTTTTGCAATAAAGCCAAGACAAAATTCCAACCACACTATCTCAATTAAAATATATGAGTACCATGGTAAGGCTCTTCGAAGGTTTACAGGAAATTACTGTTTAATTGTCATAATGAGAGCGCCATTTGCTCGAGGCATGCATTGCCCAAGGTCCGTATTAACTTAATTGATAGACAATTCTTTCTTTAAGAAATCATGTAAGAAGTCATGTATTTCCAGTAGCGGATTAAAACTATCATTAACAAATCTGTTTTAAATATTTAGATTGAAATCCCATTTCGGTTCGTTCGGTTTAACATGGTACGCTTATACAATTGTAATAGTTTTACTGACTAGAGACACCTGGTGGATAAATCCAGAACTAACTGTACAACGTTACAGCGCTGCCTGGAGGTATCACTGGGTGATGACATAATCACTGGAGAAGACCTCAATTGGAGCTATGTCAGAAGTAAATATACGGTCTTGGAGAAAAAGATCAAGAGCACTAAGAACATTTCGAATTAATAAGTTGTTATTGTTTAATTTATAAATTATAATGCTGCGAATTTTTCTTTTCATTTACATAATGATTTCTCTAATCAACTAGTATTTGTAATTATAAAGAGGAAAAACTTAAAAAATAACTATCGTAACTTCTTCAAAGCATTTAAGCAAGCAACTTCGTGTTTTGCGACCTCCCTCCTTCCAGCTACCGGACGACAGCCGCGGATGGCGCCAGTAGGAAGAGAAAGGAGATAAGGCGGAGGAAGCTGTGGCTGGCTCTTCGAAAGGGAAAGTGGTTAGAGAAAGTGCTGGGCTTTCTTCAGCTCGCACCATCTTTCTCGCTCGCATACTGTAACTATATATATATATATATATATATATATATATATATATATATATATATATATATATATATATATATGTATAACTTGATTTATTCTGGGACGAATCCCTTTAGAATAATACAGGAAGACAGAAATGTGGGCTAAGGAGCCTTAGAGATACATAAACAAAAATACAGAGTAATTAAATAGTCATAGTAAAAATATTGAAGAACGGACTTATAATTTATAAACATTTTTACAGTAGTATCTGTTTACAACATTATGGGGACTGGATGGGAAAAAAATTATTGAACAGACGGGATTTAAAGGTAGGAAGGATATTGGATTGACAGATGTGGGGAGGGATGGGGTTCCATAGGGATGAGGATCGGATAATGGACGATCTGTCGAAAGCGGCGGTTTGGTGGGCCCTCATGTATTAATCAGAAGACCGGGAACGAGTATTGCGAAAACAAACAGAGGATTTTAATTGAAGGAACTCGGAGATTTATGAAGGACGGTGGGATTGGATGATTTGAAAGAGGAAGACATATATATATATATATTGTTACAGTGCACGTAAAACTTCTGAATAGCGGACACTTTCGGCGAATCAATTCATTTTTGGTATAGAGAAATATCCGAAAAACTGGTAGTAAAACATGATAAAAAATTAGTGGAATAAAATTGTGTTTTAAAAATCATATATATATGCCTCTACATAGCCTCAACGGGTCATTAATGCCATTGATGCGGCTGAGGGAGTGGCGCTGGGATCTCCTAGAGACCTACTTTTCAAGGAGTGGGGGAAATGCCTTGGCTCTGAGTTCTCTTGTATGAGTGGATTTTGTAAATATGGTATATAAGTATGCCTATATTTAAGTTGTTATGTTGATTTTTTTAAGTTTCTTTTTGTTTATATATATATATATATATATATATATATATATATATATATATATATATATATTCTATATTTAGTATTAATATTTTACTAATTATTAATATTTTTATTTAAGAAATAAAAGCTTTGTAGCAGTTAATTATAATCATTTTTCCAGAAAACACGGATACATTAAGGTGACCAGATAGGAAACCACATCATTTCTTAACACACCTTGAGGTTAATCCAAAATATTTTATGACTTTTTTAATGCAACTTACCTGTATTTAGCAGTTCAAAAGTTCTTTTTTTTTTATAGTTTTAGCAATGAAAAACTTTATTTCCGCTTAAAGAAATAGTTTTCTAGTTTACTATGAAGCAATTTTCAATTTCTGTAATTAAATATTTTGTATGTTGTCGCTTCCTATTCAACAAAAACGTGAATCACTTAAAAAAACAAAAATCTTGAATTTCCTCCTTTTCTGCTTGATGTCTACTATCAATCTTTTAAATATTTCTCTCTACTTACGGGACACGCTGTATAGAAGAGAAAGAGAGAGAGGGAGAGAATGGTGGGAGAGAGAGAAGAGGGAAAGAGGGTGAGAGAGAGAGTGAGGGAGTGAGATTAAAAAAGGATCAATATAGGAATATAGTTCCATACAGTTAATATTGCCTATTTTATTTTAAATAATTTCTTTGTAAAAGATCTTTTTTTTATTGAGAAAAAAATACAGTTTACCTCAATCAAAGGCATTGAGTGATGTGAAAAACTCATTCATACAATATATACAATTACAAAAATAATAGAAATTACAATAAAAATAAAAAAAGAAAGCTTTGTAAAAGATTGTGGTATTATCGAATGCTTTTGAAACACCTTTAAAATATAAAAAAAAATAAAATAGAAATTTAACAATCAAATAATAACGATAAACTATAGCGAGAACAAATCACTTATTAGAATTTAAGTTCGGTGTGAGGTTTTATTTGTATTGCAAAGCGAATGAGTCCGTATAAAAAATAGTCGAAAAGCAACAAATTCCTGCGTGAATATATTGCACCAAAGCAACAATAACGGATAATTTGATATCTGAAAATATAAGGTATTTGAGCACTGAAGGAGTCTTACACAAATATAAATTTAAAGAAGAGATCAGCCTCAAGAAGGCTAAAATATTTTTTAAAAGCCAATTTTTGTAATGATAACATGACAAGCAAGCGACAAAACGTTGAAGAATTGCCAAATTCAATTAATTGAAAATACATGGTTGGTACATGTTTACTGACTTAATTGAAACAAAGAATTCTCTAAAATTCGGTAAAATTTTGTAAAAGTGTTTATTTACTAAGTGTTTGTAAACTTTTATAACCAATAAATTTTTTTTTTGTCTTTAAACAATTTTTAATAAATGTTTTGAGTAATATCTTACAAGATTTATTTGATAACAAAACAAAAAATTAAAGTTGAAATATTGACAATACAAGTTTTCCAAATTAATTAATATGAAATAAAATTCACATTAAAAACAATTTTATAATGTTGTGTCGTTAATACCACTGCATCTCGACGGCTTTAAAGATTCAAAAGTAAATATAACAAATATATAATTATGTTAAATTGAAATCGTTAATAACCCCTCCTCCACCCCAAAAAAAATCGCATTATTTTTATTTTAGGAGTATTTTTATCGCTGACTTGCAGCGTTTAGTTGTTAAATAGCCGATGTTAAATCCTAGCGAAGCTGTGCCCGCTCAGCAAACATGGCATCCTGGGAACTAGCTTACGATCTGCTGAATCTGCTTCTTCTTCAAAGGATAGGTCTCTTGTGCAGTTTCCCAAGGACCGAGTGGGGGAGGAACTGCTTATCCGAGGGTACACGATATCGTGTAACGCTATCCTGGGCTCCAGTGATAAGATGGAAACGCTTGACAGTATAGAAGATAAAACTACTTCAACTTCAATTATTTTTTCTTTCCAATGAGCCGTTAAAATCTATAATAATGCCAACTTAAAGAAAAATAAATAACAAATATTTGAAATAACCTAAAAGAGACGATATAAATTATCTATAAACCAAAAGATAATTTAGAGAAGGATAAGGGAGAGGTTACACAGTGCGAGCTATCATTCGAGCTGGCCTAGTCAGTTACTGCAGCACAGCTACCCGCACTGTGTGAACGTATCATACGATTAGGTCAGTAACTAGCATCCAAGTTTCGTTTTGTTTTGAGCAAAACCACT